CTAACACAAGTCTCATTAAGTGTCCAGTTTAAGGGTATTACACAGAAACATACCAAGGGAACATGAATCAAATATGCACTTTTATTCATTTACAATAAACTCATAAAGTACATCATTCTGATTGAAGCTAAGGGCATACAAAACTGTCTAACATTTACTACTTACCCTCCGGTTCTATCACCACATGGAATGAGATGAAAAAGCAATTTCTTGAAAAGTTCTTCCCTGCCTCCCGAGCTGCTAACATCAGAAAGGAAATCTGCGGGATAAGACAATTCAGCGGAGAAACTCTCTATGAGTACTAGGAGATATTTAAGAAACTCTGTGCCAGCTGTCCACAACAACAATTCCAGACCAGCTACTTATCCAATATTTCTACGAAGGATTATTGCCGATGGATAGAAGTATGATTGATGGAGCAAGCGGAGGTGTGTTGGTGAATAAAACTCCTACTCAAGCAAGAGAATTAATCTCAAACATGGCCGCCAATGCACAACAGTTCGGCAATAGACAGAAACCCATTCCGAGGAGAGTCAATGAGGTAAGCACTTCTTCCATCGATCAACGATTAGATACCCTCACCTCTCTCGTGGAAAAACTGGTTGTAGGCCATGCACAGCAGATAAAGACTTGTGGCATTTGTTCAACTATGGGTCATCCTACCGACATGTGCCCTAAACTTCAAGATGAACCCTACGAGCAAGCCAATGCTGTTGGAGGGTTCCCACAAAGGAGATACGATCCCTATTTGAATACGTATAATCCAGGATGGAGGGATCACCCTAATCTTAGCTATGGAGCCAAGCCCTTTGGTTTCCAACCTAGACAACTAGCTCCACAACATGCACCTCCCAGACTAGGTATGTCTTTGGATGAAATTGTAAAATCACTTGCATCTAGTACCCAGCAATTCCAACAGGAGACAAGGACAAGCATCCAAAACCAGGAGAATCAAGTCAGCCAATTAGCAACTGCTGTGTGTCAAATGGAATCTCAAGGATCGGGAAAGCTACCCTCCCAGACCATGGCCGACCCTAAGCAAAATGCAAGTACAATCACCTTGAGAAGCAGAAAGGAGCTAAATAAACCTAGCAAGGAAGTGCCTAAGAATATAGCCAAAGAAGAAATAGAGAAGGAAGCACTACCCCAAACTCAAGATCCAAGTGGTAAACAACCCCAAGCCGTAGTGACCGCTCCACCTTTTCCAAGCCGATTTGCAAAATTCAAGGAGGAGCAAGAGAAGGATATTCTTGAGACATTCCACAAAGTTGAGGTAAATATCCCCCTCCTTGATGCAATCAAGCAAGTACCCAGCTATGCTAAATTCCTCAAGGAGTTGTGCACTACTAAGAAGAAGCTTAAAGGCGATGAGAAAGTCCATATAGGGGAAAATGTTTCAGCAATCCTCCAAAGGAAATTACCTCCTAAATGCAAGGATCCAGTACATGAAGTTTTTGAACTTGGTGGGAAGGAGGGATTCAGAATTTCCATTACTAAGCATCCTGAAAAAGAGGAGTCAACCTTGAGTTTTAAATTGCAAGAAACTGTTGCAGCATTGAATGATTCTCCGGAGTTACAATAGTCAGGTAAAATTCCTTATATTACGTTACCAATTTCTAATGAGAGACCTTTACCCTCTGTTTTGCAGACCCTTATTCCAGATTTGAACCCGCCCATGATGGATGAAAGGGGAGAACACCAGAAGTTGCAACTACAAAAGTTAGAGGATTTGGTTTATGATGATTAAAAACAAGGAAGTTTATTTTTCTTTTTTCTTGTTTTTACATTTATAGTTTAATTATTTCCACCTTTTCTTTGCATTTCACCTTACATTAAGGACAATGTATAGATTAAGTGTGGGGGGGGGGAGTATAGGATTTTGATTTAGGATTTTAGATGAGCAATTATAAAAAAAAAAAAAAAAGAAACTGAACTCTCTTGAAATCAATTGAAGCAATATTCTGGGAAAATTCTTGTGAACCTAGTAATGAGGTGCGAATTCTAACAGTAGGATGGAGCACAAAATGCACCTACTAGCCAGCCATTCAAAAGTAGGATGGAGCATAAAATGCACCTACTATTCAAGCAATTCTAACAGTAGGATGGAGCATAAAATGCACCTACTGGCCAAGTAATCCTAAAAGTGAGATGGAGCAAAAAATGCACACACTTTCACCAAGAAGAGAAAAAAAAAGAGAGTAAAGATAAAAATGTTTTCCCTAGTTTACTACCTGGTTTGTAGTAGCAAAAATTGAATTGGTTGATAGATGAGTCGTGTATGACTTGGTCGTGTTGATTTAACGGTTTTCAATAGTTAACGTAGAATATTTGGTGAAAAAGAAGAAGGAAAGTTGGGTTTAAAGTTTGGTAGGATAGTTTGTTTATTTTTGCTTAAATTTTGTCTTACCCGAGGATGGGCAAGGTCTAAGTGTGGGGGGATTTGATGAGAATGAAAATTATCATATCTTTATCCCTTAATATTCAGTCTTTTATACTTAGTTCCTAATTGGACTCACTATTCTTATATTTCGATTTAGGGCACGAAAGGAGGCGTTAGGTGAAAAACAAGGCTAATCGGGTAATTTTTGCACAGTTTCGGCGCCGTGTGATAATTTGGATATAACTCACCTATCCGGACTCCGATTGACATGATTCAAGATGCATTGGAAAGACAAGAAAATTCTCTATAACTTTCATGTTTTGAGTTTTCATATATTCGTATTGCATCGAGGTCAACATCAGGCCCAAAGTCTCTGCAAATTTGTAGAGAAGCCCAATTCGCAGAGAGCCCCATATTGCAGCAAAGCCCAATTCGCAGAGAAGCCCCAGTTCGCTGGAGAAGACTAGCCCAATTCAGCATGCAATAGTAGGGCCCACTCATCATTTCTAATAGAATTCGGCTAAGAGTCTTAATCAGATACAATTTTTATTGTAATCTGAAAGAAAGAAAAGAGTTAGAGTTCAACTTAGTTAAGAGTTTCTATTTAGAGATAAGGATAAGACTAAATCTAAATTAGGAAATAGGACTTACTATTTTTTGAGAAAGAGAACTCTTAAGAGGAGCTGAAAACTGCTCCCTCCTATATAAAGGGG